GACTAAGGGCACCTAGCCACGGCAAGTATCCGTAGCCTCTGCAGGCATTCTCTCCACGTCCGTGGTAAGTTTAAGGCGCCGCTGTCCAATAACCCGAGGGCTTGGAGGCCAATCATCCCTCCACTTTGTGACTTGACACCGCTGCATGGCCTTCCGTCGGTCAGGTTCCACGGGTGCATGTGTGTGCTGAAAATAGGTGAAATAATGTATGCGTAAAGGTAGTTTGGAGTTACACGGTGACACCTACGTGAAAGTCCGTAGTAGGAAAAGACACCGCGCACATCGCCGTCCCGTCCGCAACTACACCACATCACGCAAAGCCGCATCTGCGCTACCTTGTGGTATCGGTCATCCTCCGAGCCCAACGCACCACCAAAAACTCAACCACCAAAAACACCACACAGCAGAGGCCTGCCATCTTTTCTCGTTCTCTTTCTATTTTCCCACTCCGGTCTCCTCTTCCCTCAAACTCTCTCCATCTACGGGTCAACAATCTCCACTATCGTTCCTACTACTTGCTAACACCTGCATGCTCCTCCTGCTGGAGAACGGAGGCGGGCGCGGACTGGAGAACCACATCTCCTCTTTCTATTATACGGCCGGCCATCTTCCTGAGGATGCTGCAACTCAATGATCCACACAACGACGTGCCGGGCCTTCGGCGGAATCTCACCAAGCGCAATGGGCCGACGTCCATATGTGCAGGCGCACCGCCGCCGTCATCGCACACTTGTTGCTGCTGCTACTCCTCCTCCTATGCCGTTGCCGACCCCCATCGTGGTAACAGTTGCGGATGACAGAAACCCCGTGTCGTCGGTCCTGTCGCCAGTTTGTTCACGCGAGGAGAAGAATTCATCCCTTCCATACCATTCTCAGCCCTCAACCACCCCCGGTCCTTTAGAGTCCCATCAACTCCTCCTCAGTAGCAGTAGCAGCAGCAGCAGTAACGCCCGCAATATCAGCAACCTCTCTCACCTCTTCGCCTCCACCCGGGCCTTCTCATCTCTTACACATAGGGTCTCCCTCACCATGCTACAAACCAAGCCCATCCTCCAGGCCCGTTCCACTCTGCTCCATCACATCAAGTCCATCATGGCTCTCCTCCAGCCCATCATGGCACCAACTACACGGCACAAAGACGACAAGTTAATATCCAGAGTCGTCGCCGCCAGCACCACTCCCGCACGGCGCAGGCTGACTCTTCCGGAGCGGATCCCTCGCGGAGCGTGGGACTCACATATGCACGTCGTCGACCCGGCCGCCTACCCCTTGGCAAAGGACGCAGTCTACTGCCCCAAAACGCACCGCCTTGACCACGCCCTCGCCTTCGAGTCCTCCGTCGGCATCGACAATATCGTCCTCGTACAGCCATCCATCTACGGCAACGACAACACTTGCCTCCTCGACGCCCTTCGTGCCCTCGGCTCCCGCCGCGGCAGGGCGGTGGTGGCTTTCGAGCCAGGCAGCCTGTCTCAGAGCACCCTGGCAGAGTGGCACAGGCTCGGTGTAAGAGGCGTCCGGATCAACCTCTCCTCGGTGGGCAAATCCCTCAACGCTGTAGAGCTCGACTCGTTACTACGTCGATATGCCCACGACTGCAAGCCTCTGGATTGGGTGATACAGGTGTACATGCCCATGTCCATGATCGAGCTGCTCGTGCCCATCGTCCCGACCCTCGGCGTGAGAGTTTGCATCGATCACCTCGGGCATCCCAATATCAAGGACATGCCATCACATAACCCGTACGACATGAAGGGCTTCAAGTCCCTAGCCAAGCTGCTCCGAGCCGGGAACACCTACGTAAAGTTATCGGCGCCGTACCGGCTAAGCTCTAAGGCAGATCATAGCGATCTGGAGCCGATTGCGCGAGAGGTGCTTCACCTGCGGGGCAAGGACAGAGTCATCTTTGCGACGGACTGGCCGCATACACGGTTCGAGGGCCTGGATATCCGGCCCTGGATGGAGACGGTGCTCGACTGGTGCGGGAAAGATGATGTCTTGGTTGACAGGTTATTCAGGGGCAACGCGGAGGATCTATGGAATGCCCGTCACAGCAGATGATGCGTCACATCATCGATATGGTTTGCTCGGCTTACACGTTGGAGGAGCCTGCATTTTCTTTTACTAGCATAGCGTTGTTGCATGAGTTGTGTGGCTTTCTAAGCGGTTCATTGCAGAGCAACAATTACGTCGGCCTTCGACGCGACACGAATTCATGACCATAAGAAATAGAATACTTTGTAATAATGGCCTTGGCCAAAATCAACTTTTTACCTTGTCACGTAATCCGCATGATCTAGTGATACGGTGATTTACGGTGTGGTCGTTTGAGCTCTATGTTCGGTGTAAGTCCGCGATTACAATAGTCTTGACTTACACGGAAAACACCGCAACTTTAGGATAAGGTTTTCCGTTGGATACTTGATTCACATTACCGCAACTCCCTCTCTATCCCTGCAAGTCTATCTGTAGCAGCGCCTGTGTAGAATACTTTAAACGAACTAAACGCCGAGGCAATGAGGGAGTCGACCCTAACTAAATCACAGAGGTTGGAGGGCTGGCTCTGACAGTTCACCACCAGTAGCCCCAGTTTCTGAGAACGAAATGACAACATGAGGGGGCATGGCAGCGCCGCCAAACCCTGAACTTGGAAAGAGACGGCCCGATAGTTCGGTGTTGTGTCCGCTTCTCTCGGCCGCGGGGCTAGTGGGGCCGCATACTCAATTCTGAGATACGGCGTTGAAGATCAAGGGGAGACAATGAGCCAAAGAATCTCGAATATGCAGTCTCTATGAGACATTGTCAATCTGGTGATATATTTGTCTAAGGTACTCGTGTTTCCTAGCCGAAGATCGCGAGATCAACAATCCCACGCACGTTTTAAAGTGTCCAGGTTGTCGGTCGACAACTCTCGATATGCAATCCTCGCTTCTCAGCAACTGGCGGCCTTTGCACCTACTTCCACAAACCTGGGTTTGACACTGCATGCCCGCTTACCGTCACCGCCGGCGAGCAACAACGCCACTTCGGCGGAACGCATCTCTCGGACTGCAAGGTCAACGAAGCAGCCCGTCTTGGAGGGGCTTCTAGGTCGGTGACGACTGGTAGGGCCGGGGGCGGCTCCACTCGCGGACGTGGGACTGATTCTGGTACAAGTCCGATTCTCGAGCTTACTAGAGGTGGAAAGGGCATGGTGGCTGGGACTTTTGCCGGTGGTCCTTCCTGAAAGCACGTCTTTTCTCTCGTGGCAAGGTCTTATCATGGGCCATGGCCAAGCAGGATTACGGATATGCATCACTGAGTAGAAGTTTGTTCACGGTGGGTGACCGACGTGAGTTGTTTTGCGACATCTACTTGTAGGCGGGATGATTTAGACCGAGGACTTGTAGCTGCGGATAGCACGGCTCGCAGTGGACATGTAGGATGGGGATAATGTCATCAGTCACATTCGAGATAAGCTAGCCTGATCGTATCTTCGTCGACTGCTTCTTACTTGGTGCGAAACCGAACTCGGTCGAGCAGAAATGTTGCTCGTGTGCTCTAAGATATCCAAGACCCTCATAGCAATCATCGTTTCAAAACACCATGGTAGATTCGTCCGAAGATGAGGAAAAACCACGGAAAAACGAGATCACACACTCCCAACCCCACACGATGCCCATGGGGGACTCTCAAAGGCAACAAGAACCCCGGATTTCCCAAGCAGCCGGTCAAAATTGCCGGATATGTACGGATTTCAGTATGTATAATGAATCCTACTGTAACGTCCCCCAGCTTTCAACAAACTTGGCTCGCCACCAACGGTCAACTTCCGCATGTTGTGTGACAAGGATTCTGCAAGCTCCGTCCTCTTGGAAACTCTTGGGACGAGGCGAAGTGGCACTTATTTTCCAGAGACGAATCGGGTAAATATAACCTCTATATAGGATACAAATGCAACACACCCTATCTCAATAGACCGATCCCCAGCCGAGGGACAGGAACAAGGCTTGTTCTTGGACGTTTTGACTCGTGTGTCTTCATAACCCTCCATATGATCCCCGGGAAAGTATGAGCTTTGCGGGGCCGGAACCGTTTCAAACTCGAACCTGGAGATGGCGACTAGAGACTCCCATCAAGATTCCATCATGCCTATTGATACAGCGCGAAAATAGCACAAGAGAAATAGTCTCCCTTGACTTCAAGTCCGATACTCGTATCCTACCTCTGCGGTTGAACTTTCACCCCTCTGCCAATCTTACACCTCTTTCGAAAAGTTACCAGATACCCCTCCTCCCCGGTGTCCCACAACGATTCGACCAGGGCCCCCATAAGACGTTTCCCCTCCTCCCCACAACCCTCTTGCAGATCCCCTCCATCCGAGGCACGAACGAATCGTTGATACATTGAACCCCAGGACTTGCAGATGCCCATCGCCGAGAGGCCATCTGCAAGTGCAGGCTGGGACTGCACGTGGGTACGGCGTCATGTTTCCTGCTGATCACATTATCAGGCAGGGCTAGCTGTACTCCGTAGAGAATTCTTTATCATCGTCGTCTGGAGGGCTTGGCCTCACTCGGTCTGTGGCTCCTGAGATACATACAGCCAGCCAAACCTGCAAGTTGCTACCGGCTCTAGACACCTTCTTGACAATGTATATATGCTAAGCTTTGCAAAGGAACCAGAAGAGACGAGTTATTGGCAGTATGCGTTTTTGCCTGGTCTGTGGATCTAGATGGTTGTACCCACGGACGTGCTAATTGAGTACCTACCCCGAGCAGCTTAAAGCTTGATCTCTAACTCAGAACACCTGCTATAAGGTTGACAACTCAAAAATTGGAGATTATTATCGCATGCCCATTTCTCTATGCATGTATGCGCGATTAGCAAAAGGAAGTGCCCCCTCACGGGATTGAACCGTGGACCTTCGCATGAGGTGCCGAAGTACGAGTGCGACGCTCTACCACTGAGCCAAAGGGGCTTGTTCAAGCTGAAATAATGGGGTCCAGATTGCGACTATCATGGTAGCAGTCGCCGCCAGCGAGTTCTCCGTCGTGTGCTTCAATGCAGTCAGTCCCAAGAGTCATTCAACGTCGTAGTTTACAACGATAAGACAGACAGTCCATCACAACATCAAGCACCGGCTTCACCGTCCCCTCGGTAAACTTCCAGCCATCCTGGCCCCGGACCATCACCGACATAAACTCCCCAGAGAACAAGCTTTCCTCCGTCTCTTCTATCCGCACGAATACCCTCAGTCCCTCGGTCCACGTCCGCGATAACAACCTCGGCCATCCCCCGTTGGCGTTGCCGGTAGACCGGAAGTATCCACCATGCACCATCAAGTATCGACACATGGCGCGCACATCAAAATACCCATAATCCCATCCGCCCACGGGCGTTTCGGCCAGAAAGAAAAGAAGTTGCGCAGAAGAGTGTCCACTTTTGCGGTGTTACTCACCGTCCAACCTCGTGCAAAGTTACGATACACTCGGCCTTTGGGCTTTACAGCGAGACTAACAGCGAGCATTTCCTGAAAATCTGCTGCTCTTCGGGCCCTTTTTTCTTTTCCCCATGGAACTACCCGTAAAGCATCGTCCCCCTGGCCCCGTGCGCAAAATCTTGTTTCTCACTAACGCTGGACGAAACTTAACCAAACTGAGCATTAGACGCAAAAAAAGACCATTTCCATTTTTATCCTGTCATCGCAACTCACGAAACTTGGCAAACTCGCTCACGCATTTCCATATGTTCAAACTGGCCGGGACCCCGAAACACCACCCTCGGTAAATGTCCCGTAAAAGCCCCTCCCTCTATGGAGTATCAAACGCCCACAACGTCGGAACGTCGTTCCGACTTATTCAACCTCGGACCCTGGCCGTTTAATCGTACGGGTTATGGGAACCGTCTGATCCATTCATCCAGAGAACACCGCACCACAGTTTCGGTACGACTGGTTCTCTACTCGCCCTCACTATCCAGGTCCAAACGCTTCAGAGTATTTCCTAAAAATGGAAACACGACTTACAGCTGGAGGCACGGACAAGTGAGAGCAAAGGGTGAGAGACGGGTGCGAAAGAAACAGTACATGCGCACAACACCTCACCTGTCTCTACGTCTAGGGCCCCGGCACTTCGGCCCTCCGGCTCTGATGATACCCCGAACGACATCCGCTCACCCAATGAACCCAACATCCCTCCCATACCGCTATGCCGCAAATACCACATGTCAAATCTATTCCTCCCTTGGTCCCTAGGCTGCTCGGTTCACAACCTGGCTGGCTCTCCCCATGTAACCTCCGGACGCATCTTGCATATACGCGCTAGTCCCCCCAGATTTCCCATGAACGGAAATCCAGAACCCATCCATAACCATCTCCCTTCCTCCCTATCCCACTTCCTCCGCTCGCTCGCTTGCTCACTCACTCTTCTGTACTCCCACACCCCTCGAAAACTTTGAAGTGCAGTCCGGCATGATACGATCCTCTGTCCGCGATCCTCCATCGTCACACAGCTCGGAAGTTGACCGAGAAGCACTTGCGAACCTTGAGAACCTTCGTCAAGCACAATGAGGGGCAGATCTGTATGCGTATCATCAGATCACCGTTCTCGTCACGGTCAAACCCCCGTCCAACCCCGCCGAGCCTAACCGCACCGATGATCAAACGCCGTTGATCATCGTTGACGTGGCGGAGGACGCGCCGAGCCGGGCCCAGCTTACACAGCCCTCCCGACTCCAGTTCCTAACCCCAGTTCGCCAGGTGCTCCAGAGAATCAACTTCTTAGGAGGAAAAGTACGCACGGAAAAGTGACCCATCGACACGGATACAATCTTTCAGCCATCCTGCTTATCCATACACCATCGATAAGACCACCAAGATTTCCAAGATGCCAACTCTACCCATCAACCTTAGCTCAACTCGGACGATGCCCGAGATTCTCAGACACCATTTCCAAGAAAGCATCGCCGTCACAACCAGATGAGAGACAAGATAAACACCCCCCACGTAACAAAAAGGCAAACCGCTCTGAGCTCTCCCTCCGGCCAACCCAAAAACCGACCCAGCTCGGAACATGCCCGAGTGGAGCCCCCTCTCAGCGCCCATCCTCCAGGGCCCGGGTGACCGTGCAGCTTCCTCAACCACTTTTTCCAACCGGTCACTCTCCGGTCCTTCGGGGGAAAGAATGGGGTATCGCGCGCAGGAAATGGGCCGATGAAGGCCGGTACAACCAAACAACGGGGCTTTCTTTTTTGGCCGCGAACGGTGGACCATGGGGGGAAAGCGAAGGAGGGTCTATGGTTGCTCGTTATATCATGACGGCATTCCGGACTAGGAGAGGAAATGGAGCGACGAGTGACGACGACACGAGACGCCAAACGCGAGCGAGATTGCCGACATTCACCGAGGTCTTTTCGCTTCGGTGTTGAGGGAAGGTCTAGCTCTGTACCAGACTAGATCAGATCAGATCAGATCATTGCCCACACAATGGAGCAGTCCGGCGTCTTGACCAAGATCGTGGCGGGCGGTGTTGCGGGGGTTACAGAAACGCTTGTTACTGTGAGTGGAAGGTCTCATCATCCATGCTCCCCGAGGACTAAACATAGAACACGCGTGTTGGTTTTACGCACTCACTCACTCACTCACTTACACCCTCGCTTGCATTTTCACTCACATTCTTATTCTCACTCACACTCACTCACTCTCACGTTCCATACACAAACGTACAAACGTATAAACATGTTGGGCACACTTGAGCGGTCACGCGTACATGAGATGAACAAGCATACAGAAATAGGTCTAACAACAAGTCTCTTCGACACGATATAGTACCCAGCCGAATACGTAAAAACACGCCGCCAACTACACTTCAAATCCACCACCAACGCAACAACCTCAAGATCCAACCCACCGCCCAGCTCCCTCTCCATCATCCGCGACACGATCCGCACCTCGGGCGTGAGGGGCATCTACTCCGGCGTCCAGGCCCTCGCCGCCTCCAACGCCGCCAAATCCGGCATCCGGTTCCTCGCCTTCGAAACGACGCGCTCAAAGCTCGACGCGCTCTCGGGCTCGGAATCCCAGGCATCAGGACCGGGAAGGAAGCCCCGTGCCGCGTGGATCAACGTCGTAAGCGGTCTCAGCGCCGGCGTAGCAGAGTCCATCGCCGTCGTGACGCCAGGCGAAGCCATAAAGACCAAAATGATCCACGCCGCCGCCACCTCGTCCTCCTCCTCTTCCTCGTCCGCAAAAAACCGCTTCGCGAACCGCGGCCTCATCAGCGCCGTCAGGATCCTGCTCCGCGAAGAAGGCATCCGAGGCCTATGGAGCGGCCTCACGCCCGTGCTCTGCAAACAAGGCACCAACAGCGCAGTCCGCTTCACGACCTTTGCTATGCTCCAGGAGCGCGTCGCGGCGCGGTGGCCTCAGCTCGAGGGCGGCGTTGGGAGTACCCTCGTCTTGGGCGGTGTGAGCGGTGTGTTTACGGTGTATGCGTCGATGCCGTTTGATAATATCAAGACGAGGATGCAGAGCGTGCAGAGTGCTGACGTGCGGTATACTGGTATGGTAGACTGCGCTGCGAGGATTCTGAGGAGTGATGGGGTTTTTGCGTTTTGGAGGGGTACGTCGCCTAGGTTGGTCCGGCTGACTGTAAGTTTGATGCCATGGCTGGGAGTGGTGGTGGGAGTGAATCTGGCTAATGTGGATATGTACAGCTTTCGAGCGGCATCACGTTCACGGTCTATGATCAAGTGGTGCGTCTGATGAAGTCGGCGCAGACAGACCGCAAAGCCAGCGACCTGCAGCGCCTGTAAAGAAGGCCAGGCCGTCGCGAAAACATGGATGGCGGAAATCTCTCGTTTTGTTCTTTTCTTTTTTCTTTTAATTCTGGTAAGTGATTCTTGATGCATAAATGGACTGGCTTTCTGCTGGCTTTATTTTTGTTGCTATTCATCTATCGCGCCGACTCTGACGCTCAACGGTTCTATAGAAGACATGGTCTGGAAGACCTGCGGGTCAATGGCAAAGGCCTCGGGGCCGAGGGTGTCGACAAAAGGGAAGTTGTATATCTGCTCTGGGGAGCTGGTGGCCTCCGGGCCGGGCGGTACGGACGTCGGGGGCATGTTGTTCTCGGCGCCGGCGCCGTGGCGGCTCTGTTGCGGGATGCCGTAGGTTGCCATGGGCGGCGTTGCGGCCGTCTTGGGGAGGCCGAGGGCGCCGATGTCGATGCCTAGGCCGACGAGCTCGCGGGTGATGAGGTTGAGGGCGCTGCTGATGACTAGGGGGCGGGGTGTGGTCAGTCAGAGTTTAGGGCTCAAAGTTGGATCTTGTTCCCCTTTGGCTGGAATATGTCGAAGGGGGGTGAAGGAATGCTTCAAAACCTTAACTCACCTGGGTTGATGCGCTTCACGGACGCCAGGATACGGACGCAGTACTCCAGTCTCCGCAGCGCTTGTGCGTCCTCGACGCTGGACTGCACCTGGAGCAGGAAGATGGACGCGGCAATGTACACGCTATACGAAAGGGAGAGCACGCAGTGGCTGATGCCGAAGGAGCGGCAGAAGAGATCAAAGATGGCGATGATTCCCGTCGCCGAAGTCACGCACTCGCCGAGGTACCGCTGCACCGGCTGCAGGTTATCGCCTACTCTTCCGCGCTGAGACAGCATGGGACGGTAGAGGAGGATCTTGAAGGTGCGGTAGAGGACGCTAAGGGGAGGGTGCAAATGTCAGTATCTTTCGCTTCAAAGGGGGACGACGGGACGTACTTCAACGTGATGATGTGCGACGGCGGCGCCAGGGCTGGGAGAGCCGTGGGTTCGATCTTTAGGTGTGGAGGTAGCTCATCCCACCACTGACGCAGGGCGACTTCTTGCTTGGCGAGACAGTCCTGCATCTCGGCCTGGCTGTTGGGCCGCACGGGGTCGTACATGTGGACGAGGATCTCGTTAAAGGTTATCGAGAGACGGCACATTTGCATGAAGCACGAGGTGGAGTGCGCCGCCGCGGGGGGGTACTTCCAGCCGCCTTCCGGTACGACGCCAAAGGGCGTCCACGACTCGTTCTCGGCCGAGTCGTCAACTATCATCTCGCCAGTCAGCATACTCCCTTCTGCAGAAAGCACCAACAGAGAAAAACATACACATAATCTGCGGCGGCGACACAGACGTCTGCTGCAACGAAGGCGAGCGCCCGAGGTACAGACTAATCATCTTGTCCCAGAAATAGCAACTCCAAAACAGTCGGTGGCGGATCTCGACATCTTCGTCCGCGAGCTGCACGGAACCGGGGTACCGCTGCCCGTCGACGCAGATGCCGAGGTGGTCGATGATGCGGAACGCGAGGCCGCTGTACGTCCAGGCCTGGGCGCTGTTGCCCACGCTGCACTCCTGCGCGCTGAGGAGCAGGAGTGTCTGGACGGTGGGGATGGAGCAGACGCCCTGGCTGAGCTCCTCGAAGACCATGCTGCGCGCGTGCTTGCCGAAGAGGGCGCCGCCGTCGTAGAACTCCTCGAGCCTGTCTTTTGTGGCCGGGTCGCTTCGGCCCCAGCGGATGGAGTGGGAGAGAACTGCGTTCATGAGGGTGTGGGAGTAGTATGGTCCTAATGTCTGCATGTCACCTGGTAGAGATGTTCAGTTTGGAAATGCCAGGAGAAGAGTCAGGGGTTGTCCTCACGAGTAAAGGCAGGTCTGTAGATGAAGTTGAAGAGAGGTTGGATCCAGCACCAGTGAACATTTAGCAGATATTGGAACGGTTCCTAGGTAAGGATCAGATCAGCTCACACGCCACTTTTCCGCGGGTAGTTGACCGGAGGTTGGAGGAGGAAGAGCATACCGGTATATCGGACATGTTCTCGAGCGCCCTCTGCTGCCAGGCGTTGGCTACAAGCCTCTCACGCCTTTGCATGGCCTGGTCAGATGTCGACTGCTGGTCCCTCGAGCCAGACGGCCTATCGCTCGGCAGCTGGAAGAAGCTCGTGGAGCCATGATACGTGATGGCGCCCTTGTCGTCGACCTTGAGGCCCTTGAAGCTCTCGCTCACAGACTCTTCATCCTGCGACTCAAAGTGGTGAGGATCCGTCATGGGCGACTGGCCCGCTGACGGCCCGACGCTCGGCGATGATGTCCGGGAGGGTTCTGAGGGTCCTGCTCCCGCTCCCGCTCCGGATGGTGCGTGAGCTCTCGCGGCGGCAAGCTGTGCTTCTAGTTCCTTTATGCGATGCTCCAGCCGTGATGTGTAAGACAACGTTGGGTTACTTTTTCATCCGACATGGTCAGTATATTCCACAAGAATCGCCGGGATGTAGGGGGAACATGAGGTATCCCAGGCTGCAGGTGAGATCAGGGGCTTAGCAAAGGGGAAAACTCACAGTTTATAGACGCACTCATCCGCGCGGGCAGCACACCGATTACACGTCGGCTGCTCTCCGCCACATTTTACCTGCCGTCAATCACCGGGTCAGCATCAACTCAGGCCGTCATGCTCCGATCCGTTCGCGCCGCCGCCGTGCCGGAAGTTGTGCATGATGTCCGTCGCCCGGATTCGCTCTTCCCCCCGCCCTTCCGTGCCGTGATGCCGCCGTCCCACACCCATTCGCCCCCAACCCCGTCCTCTTGGGAGTCGATCCCCCCGGCCATGTCGTGTATCTCAAGCCTTGGTTACCTCAGGCAGGATCATCAAACATTGCCTGAGCCTCCGCTACCCTCCGCGGATCCGAGTGGTGGGCAGGGGTACGGGTTGTGGCGCGGAATGCGGGAAATGAGGCGCACCACGGCGGAGGGGTGGTGGTGGTGCGGCGTGCCGAAAGAGAGACAGACAAGGTGGGGGATAAGAGAAAGGACTCAAAAAGAGCGCGCAAGAAGAATACAGAAACACAAAGAGAAGGAAACGGAATTAAACGTACCTTGCGACGACGACATGGTTCGCACGAAAAGGCGCTCTTCTTGATGGCCCTCGTGGAGGACATGGTGATGTTCCATGGGCTAATTTTCTGCCTTGCCCTCTCTGCTGTTTGCGCCTGGTCTGAGGTGGTTCCCTCCCCGAAGTTGATGCGGGACGGAAGAAAGTTGAACTTTGGGCCCTTGTTGTGGAGAAGGGGAATAGCGAGATCGGGCTGGACCTATGTGTCTGTGGTCTGCTTGAGCCTTGTTGGCGTTGCTCCTCTTCCCAACGGATATGTGCGCTTGCAATTGACCATTTCGACTGCGACGGGACCGTAAGGTGACTTGGGGGGGCGCTTCGGCCGGGTCGGGAAAGTCGGGAATCGCGGGACCGGGCCCCACTCTTCAGCACCTTCTCTGCTAATTTTCCGCCCTAAGGCCAACTGTGACGCGCCTGAGACGTCCCATGAGCGAATTAGAATCCACCGCGATAATCTTTTGGCCAATCGATAGCCTCAGCCTTGTTGAATGGGGCCCACTACTTCCTCTTGGTCAGCGGCTTTCCCCGATACGTCTCTCCGATGATCGCCCCACTACGAAGAGTGGATATCGTTCACCGAGATTCGGTCAGGCTCTCTCCACCTTCCAAGGTGTAGGTCCCGTTCACCGAGACACCGAAACATCAAGAGACTTCCAACACACCCTCCTTGCATTCCCAACCTCTAAATGCACTTCCCACTTCCTACTTCCTACTTCACTTTCTCAGTCTTGTGAGATGCGCAATCAATCAAAGTGAGGCCTTCCATCTTCGCAGACATGGCAGCAAAGGCTAGGGTCCAGACAGCCGGGCACGCCAAGCCCTTGCTGCGCCGTAAGATTGCAGCAGAGACTTGACCTCAAAGGGGACGGGTCTCCGGACCTCTCTCCTTCTTGATCGAGACTCGGCTGAAAAAGCATGAGCTTCACATAAATACAAACCTCACAGCCCGCTATCAAGATGAGCAGAGTTCAATCGTCATCTCCCAAAGACACATTCGACCGCTGCACAAACCCACCGTAGACCACATCATTGCCAACCCATGACCAGTTTCGAGACCCCTATAAACGCATCACAGTCTCGCAATGGCCACCTCGACGATAACCTCGTCTCCCACGCGCTCCCCGCCCTGGTCAGCTACTCCGGCCCGCGAATGCCTCATTCCCCGCGAAACAATCAGCTGGAACAACTTTTGCGGTTTCTACGCGACTTCATGGGGCGGGTGCCCTTCTGGCTACGCACCGGCTTGCAGTACGGCCGTGGACACAGCCGACCCCTTTGTATCGAAGCGGACGGTCACCGACGGAGGCCAGGCAACCTTGACATATGAGTGGTGGCTGAAGAGCCACTCCCAAGTGATATGCTGTCCAGGGTAAGAGAAGCGCGCCCTTTTGCGAAGGATAGAGATACTCAAGCACGCATTAATCCACGATTTTTTTTTTTTTTTAACCCAAAACGCACCTACTAGCACACTGCCTTGGTCATGTACAGCGGGAGCAAACTGCATCTTGACCACGACGGCCGGCTTCCTCGCCTCCGACCCAGCCCAGACCTCGCCATCTCCAATCTACGCCTACGGCATCACATACTCTGTGGAAGTACGCGAGTCCGTGGCATCCACCAAGAGACTGGCCAATTACGAAACATCGTACTATGGAGACGGGAAACCTGTCAGCGAGGCCTGCGATGAAAGTTCCTGCCTCGGGGCGTTCACGGCGCCAGAGTCGAAGAACATCTATCCCTACGCGTCCCCGACGACCACGCGCGGGAATGCAGCAGCTACGGACGGGCCGTTCGTCTTGCAGCCGCCGGAGAAGATGGGACAGCTCGGCCCACTGGCCGTTGTTGCGATCACGGGGTTGTTGGGGGCCGTGCTGCTGACGATCGCGCTCTTGTCTCCGTTCATGGGTGAGTATTTTCGCCGCAAGGAGGGGCAGAAGCAGTCGCGAACGATAAATAGCCAGTAGAAATATCAATTGTTTTTCTGAAGTCACATAATGGACATAGTAAGAGAGGGGCATTCGGTGGCCACAGTGGTTGTGGAATTCTTAATTAATGGTATCTTGTTTCATGCTGATGGGTATCTCTTCATGTGGTTTTTCTCAAGCAAAAAATGCAATGGGCTCCAAATGTCAGTACCTCTCTACCTTGTCCCAGAAATGCAAATCCAGTAGTCCAGTCCCTGTGCTCTTAACGCCTCGCCATAAAGACCGCTCAAAAGCGCAGAAAAACAATCGAAACGCCGGACGATGCTTTGATGCATTACACCTGCATCATCTCACTTTCATATCGTGTCCTCTCGTTGGTAAATTCGAACCAGGCTCGCGCGAGCAGACCAAACTCGGACATCCTGGTGCAGAGGTTAGCATCAATGAACCGTATGATGACTGGGAGTGAAATGATGGTGGGGCAAGGTATGAAGTGAGGGTGAAAGCAAGATGAGGCTAGGGTGAGAATGAGGGTTGGAGTGAGATGGGGAGTGAGTGCGAAAGTGAGAGTGAACATGTCGGATGAAAGAAAGATGGCTCGACTTACATGATGAGTCCCAGCAGGAACGCCAGAGCAGCCTCGTACTGAATGTACGGATACGCGTAGTACCCGTTGGACTTCTTCGACTCGATCTGGATAACGAGCAGAATCCAGCAAATGGTGGTGCCCAGCGTGAAACACAACTCCATGCCAAAATGAAAATGCTTCGGGATGCCGCCACGGTAGGCGTCCCTCTTGCGCCAGATGACGGTGATGAGTGACCAAATGAGAAGAATACATGACTACGAGATGGTCAGCTGAGTCTCAGATATCGCGACATCTCACGCGTCGATTTTTCACTACAAGCCCAGGGACAGGAACTTACAATCGGTACAGACAACCACAAGCTGTAGAAAATAGGATCCGCCGGACTCGTCGAATCATTCAGATACTTGCCCCTCCGCGAGCAGTAAATGTTGATATTCAAAAAGATGACGACCAAGGGAACAATGATGGCGAGCTGGCGAAGGACGTAGTACATGTACGTGCACCGCCTCCTCTTGCGGTTGAAGCGCTCGTTCTCGGGCGATTTGGCGCTGCCGCTGGATCGACAACTTCGGCCGCCGCCGGGTTGTTGGCCGTACCAGTACTGCTGTTGATGTTGCGAGATGCTCCGCGACGAGATCGATGCGGCGTCGTCGTTGTTGTAGTAGTATACTTGGGTGACCTGCTCGTCGTTTCCGTACATTTGGCCTCCTGGCGGCTGGTTGTATCCCTGGCTGTAGGGCGGCGCTGAGTAGCCTTGGTGGGTGTAGGCGCCGTTTTGGAGAGACATGGCGGGCGAACTGCGTTTCGGTGGTGTATGGATGGATGGCTCTGTAGGTTTTTCCCCTTCTCCTCTAATCCCTTTCTTTTACTCCGTCTCTAGTTCCCTCCTCGGTGTTGCTGAGAAGTCGTCTTTTGGTATCTCCTTCAATATGTGTGGACCTCCAAGCGCAGAATCAACACCACATGCCACAGCTTGTTGGCGCAGGCATGAGTGGACTTTTATGGGGACACGAGTGAGTGAGTGAGTGGTGTGTGAGTGAGCGGCTGGGTGGACGTCTGGAAAAGGCTCCGAGTGGGCACGGAAGGAAAGGCGAAAAGGCTGAAGAACCGGATACCGAAAAGAGCTCACACGCCGGAATATGTACGGCGGGCTTCAGCGACCCTTTTAGTCTTTCCAAGGGCGTGGGTGTGTGCGAAAGAGTTAATGAAGGATATGAGAGGAAAAAAGCCCAGAGACCGCCGAGATGCTCTAATTGCGCCTGACCCTCTCCCAAGAAAAGACCGAGAAAAACTCAAAACGAGAGGGCGCGAAAATGAGAGTCAAGACTTCAAGGAGGAGGGAAATTGGGGGCCAGCAGAAAAGAATACGGTGCTGTGTGGCCTGGCGAAAAGCCTGGGCACTCGGCCTGGGCAGCAGCAGAGAGGAACAAGGAGAATTAGAATTTACTCCTGTACGAAAAATACACACACCCAAGCACACATGAGAGTCTTGGCAGTCTGGCACTCTGTACTCTGTGAGAGACTGGAGAGGTCTCAAATGTGCTGCTCGCCAAGTCGCGCTATCAGCTCACTGGCTCCAGAATTGGCCACAGAGGCCGTCTTGGCCCGCCTAGGCTCGTAGGGGTGAGGAGAATACCCATTCACATTTCACGATGCTGTTGTCTTGGCGGTCTTGGCCCCTGGGCGACTGTTCCTTGGAGCTTGGGGGGGAGGCCTTGGAGGGGCGTGTCCCAGCTTGAGATTCACTTCGTCCAGTTCCATCCCTTGGCACACAGAGCGAAGGGGAACTTTGCCAAGACATTGCCAGCAGAACAGAGCGGCGAGCCACATGTTGGAGCGCCTTGGGGGCACATTGGGTCCTGGGATGAAGCAGCAGCGCCTGTCAAGCTGCCACAGGCTGTTTGTTCGGTTATAATTGTCGGGATAAGGGGGGGCTGTTGTGCTCTTGGGAGGTGTTACAGCCAAACCCGCCAAGAGGACTGCGGCCTGCCGCGCTCCCACCAAACAGAATTCTCAGACCGACAGGGCAGACTCTAGCTAGGGATCCCAAAGACTCGCAGGTCCGCAGGCGCCGAGAGGGAACGGTGAAGGAGTGACACGCGCTGGCCTAGCCACCTAGCCTCCTGGGCAGCTCGTTGAGCCGGCGCTATAGGTCTTGTGGTGTCTTGGTAGTTGAGGTTATCAGTATTCCGTAATTTGGTAGCACAGCGGAACCGTACCTAGCACCATAGCACAGGCGCCTCAAATATCGAGTCTAGTGATGCTGAGCACTGCAGGCAGAGCTCTCGCTGCCAAGGGACTTGGTGTCTCTTGGGAATTCTTGTCTCGGACGCAATAGTCTGACTTGTCGTACAGTGATAAGGTGGCAGTCGAGTGGTGAGATTTCGCCATGCCTTTTGGCGCGCCTGTCCGACTCGGCATACCTCAGCAGCGCCGTGACCGGTCCAATTTCCCATCCCGCCGTGCCAATTGCCATAAAAGTCTCCTGTCCTCCACCAAGCTCCTGGGCAGCACGGGAAGAAGTCTCAAGAA